CTAGAGCTCCCTAATTGTATTATTCCTTCCCTCCCCTCAATTTGGGGGTCCCAGCATTCAGCACCTGAGGCTCATGAAGTGGAGAAGCCTTGGGTGCTGCAGGGAGGAGGCGATGAGGATGCTTTAGCCTAATCCTACCCACATCCAAGGAGTCCGTATTGTCTTCCCCTCCTTGCCCTGGTATGTGGACACAGCTCACTACAATGGGCAGAGGGCATAAGGGCCCAAGTGTTCCATCTGCAGACTCAGCAGTCCCAGGCTCCGTCTTGGGCACACAGGCCAGACCAGCTGACATGCACAGGAACAGCTGGGCAGTGGTGGCTCACGCCTACAATCCTAGGTACTCAGGAGGCTGAGATCTGAAGGATCATGGTTCAAACCCAGCACCAGGCAGAAAAAGTTTGCCATCTCCAAAATAACTAGCAAAGGCAGGGCTGCAGGCAAGCAGGTCCCAAGTGGTACCGTGCCAACTGACTGAGCAAGCTGAGGAAGGGCTGAGCAAGCCTTTAGTTGAGACCCCAGTTCCAAATCTTTTTCAGGCTCTATGGAGCAAAGAATGCTGGGAAGAAGTGATACACGAGGAGCTCAGGCTCCACCACTGCCAACAGTGATCCTGCACTTGAATGCAGCTGTGCCTTCAGCGGCTTCTCTCTGGAGATGCCACTCCAGCACCTGCCTTGAGCAAAAGCAGCTGAACACCCAGGCCCCGAGCTCAAGTCCCAGGACCAGCACGCATGCACAAATGGTTGTTACACTGTATTGTGTAGTGGACAAAAAGCAGGCACACTAGTTATTACTGTATTGTGAGGGGGTCAAAAGCAGGTACATAATCAGGAAAGCTGAAATTATCTTTTTTTCTAATACTTCTAATCAGGCTACAGAACCTGATCTGTGAATCCTGGGCCAGTGCCCTCCCCATCTCTGCATCACTGGTACCACTTCCAGAGAATTATTTCAGGCTCTGCCACTTGTCTCCACAACCCTGAGGTGCCAACCACCTGGCCTCCCTCCACCTTCCTCCCCTCCTGCTCCAGCCAGGCTGGCCTCTTGGCTGCCCTCCTGCAGGTCTCCCTCCCTGTGTGGGCTCCCAGTCCTTCACTCAGAAGTCATGCAACTCCAAGCCCCGCCCACATGGCACCTAAGCCCCACCCACTGGCCCTCCAAGCCCTGCCCACCTAGCCCTTCAAGTCTGCTCCCTGAGTTTCTCTGCTGGCTTGTCATCTGTCTCCTCTTGTAAAATGGAGGTTCTGTGGGGGGAGGGCCTGTCTGCCTTGTCCATGCTTGTCTCTCCAGCCTCCCAGAAAACATCCATGAGGCACATAAGAGGCGCCACAGGGCAGTAGTCACTGGCTGCCCGCCTTCTCTGTGGGGACACTAGGGTCCCCATCCATAGCAGCCATATTGCTGCTTTCTGAGGAGTCTGAGGCTGCTTTCTGCCTCAGAAAATTTGCTGGAAAAGGTTTCCAACTGAGGGGAAAAAAAAAAAAAAGCAAGAAGCAGCGTGTTAATGACTCACACCTATTATCCTGGCTACTCAGGAGGCTGAGAGCTAAGGATCCAAGTTCAAAGCCAGTCTGGGCAAAACCAAGATTCTCTGTCTCCAATTAGCCAGCAGAAAGCCAAGTAGTAGAACAACAGCCTTAAGTAAAAAGCTTAGCCAGAGTGAGAGGCTCTGAGTTCAAGTCCCAGCACTGGCACCCATTACCCCCTCCGCCTCCCCATAAAAAGCCAGCAAGAGCAGCTCCGATCCAGTAAGTCTCTCTCCCAGGGGACTTAGGCTACCAATGGCTCTGCCAAGAAGCTGGAGGCCCGCTGAGCCTACCTGCAAGCTCTGAGCTTGCCTGCACATGCCCAGGCTAGCTCGCCTGGCGTGGCTGCATCTCCTCTGCACATCTGGAGATAAGGGCCTTTGATGCCAATTGGTTCCTGTTTCCCATCCTCCAATTCCTCCTTGGCCAACACAGTCCAGGGAGGGCCATACTGCCACCAGGGCCCACTCCAAGCGGGCAGGGAGGGAGGGACAAGAGAGACTTGGTCGCAGAGCCTGGTTTTGTCACCTTGGACCTCTGTAGACTTTTAGTCTTCTACGCAAGTGAAATACGCATGCGTGCTGAACAGCACTGGAAGCACTAATGTGCAGGCTTGCACTGCTGTTCATGTACAATCAACAACCCTGTGTTCCTATTCAAGTTCAAGCTACAGGACATGCAAATTCCCACCTGAAAGCTAGAGAGAACATTCTGGATTTTTTTTTTTTTTTTTTTGGTGCTGGTCCTAGGGCTTAAACTCAGGGCCTATACACGGGCCCTGGGCTTTTGTGCTCAAGGCCAGTGCTTTACCACTTTTGAGCTACAGCTCCTTTTTTGGTTTAGTCTTGTGGACTTTCCTGCCGAGGCTGGCTTTGAACCGCAATCCTCAGATCTCAGCCTCCTGAATAGCTAGGACTGCAGGCATGATGCCCGATGATTCTGGAAATTTTTTTGATGTTCTTCCATCCTTCTTTAACCTCTTACTTCCTTTCTACTCTCCTAAGGGTTTTTGTTGTTGTTGTTGTTGGTCATGGGGCTTAAACTCTGGGCTTGGGTGCTGTCCCTCAGCTCTTCAGCTCAAGGCTAGAGCTCTACCATTTGAGCCAAGCACCACTTCCAACTTTTGAATGGCTAATTGGAGATAAGAGTCTCAAGGACTTTCCTATCTGGGCTGGCTTTGAACCACGATCCTCAGATCTCAGCCTCCTGAGTAGCTAGGATTACAGGCATGAGCCACCAGCGCCTGGCTTTCCTGAGGCTTTTTTGGTTGGTGGTATTATTTTTTTGGTAGTAGTAAGGTTTGAACTTAGGGCCTTAGCACTCAAACAGCAGCCATTCCTCCAGCTCCTACGCTGAGTTTTACAACATTCATTGCTTTGCTTTGTGTTTTTGCTAATTATCCATTAATCTAGATAGAAATCCATAAATGGTTCAGTCAGCTTGGACAGAAAAGTCTGTGAAACTCCATCTCCAAAATAACCAGCCAAAAACAGGCTGAAGGCATGATTCAAACAGTAGAGCACCAGCAGACCAAGCAAGCCAAACAAGTGCAAGGCCCTGAGTTCCAACTCAGTATGGGGGAGCTGTGCTGCCTCCCTTCAGCCCCTGACTTGACACCATTGTCATGATGTCACACCAATACCAACATTCAGGGACAGCAGCTATGCATGGCTGGAGTCAGCTGTCCTTTCTTTCCCCACTCGATTTAGATCTGGGAAAAAAAAACCCGACAGATTGTGCCTCACTGCTTGTCCCAAGACTGTACCTGCCTCCTATGACTACTCTTGTCTCTTAGGTCCATGGAGCAAATGGAAACCAGAGGACTTTGCACTTGTCTGTTATGCTGGTATTGGGACTTGAATTCAGGGCCTGGGTGCTGTCCCTCAGCTGTTTTGCTCAAGGTGGGCACCAGTGGCTCATGCCTATAATCCAAGCTACTCAGGAGTCCAACATCTGAGGATCATGGTTTGAAGTCAGCCTGGGCAGGAAAGACTGTGGGACTCAAATTTCCAATTAACCACCAGAAAACCAGAAATGGTACTGTGGCTCAAGTGGTAGAACACTAGCTTTAAGCACAAGAGATCAGGGACAGCACCCAGACCCTGAGTTCAAGCCCCACGACTCACCAAAAAAGCGTCTCACAAACTTTCTTGCCCGGACTGGCTTTGAACCATGATCCTCAGATCTCAGCCTCCTGAGTAGCTAGTATTATAGTGTGAGCCACCAGTGCCTCATAAATCTAAGTCAGTTCCTGTCTGTCTCCTGCTCGGTGCTCTCCTGATGTCACACTGCATCCAAAGTAAAATCTCAAATTCTTGCCATGCCCCCATTACCCCACTACCCCATGCCACCTTTCCCCATGCGCACCCCCTCAGACCTACTGGTCTTCCTGATCTCCTAGCTCATTCCTACCCCCAGGACCTTTGCACTTGTCAGATTCCTCTGCCACTGCTCTTTCCCAGCATTTCTGGTTACTTTATTGGCCTGCTGGAACCCCTCACCGTTCCCTGAGCCTTCATCTTGCTTCCTGGCATCCCTCACTCCTGGGCATTAGCAGACATGTGTTCTTGCCTGCTTCTGTCCATTGGGGAGGACGGTGGGGAAGGGAGAGTAGAGGGAGGCAATTATAATCAGTGTCATTTAGGCACCCACTAAGTGCTTCTGAATAAAAGAAATGAGAGAAAATGGAAGATCAGAAAGACAGAGGAGGCTAAGCGGGGCGGGGTGTGAGGATAGGATCCTCATGTGTGAGTTCCTCAGCAGAGGAGAAGGAAGCAGAATTGAGACACTGGAGGTGGGCGCCAGTGGCCCACACCTATAATCAAAGCTACTCAGGAGACTGAGGTCTGAAGATCATGGTTCCAAGCCAGCCTGGGCAATAAAACCTGTGAGACTCTCATGTCCAATTAGCCACCAAAAAAGGCTGGAAGTGGGTCTGTGGCTCAAATGGTAGAGCACTATCCTTGAGCAAAAAAAGCTCAGGACAGCATCCAGGCCCTGACCAGCACAAAAGTAAAATAAAAAGAAGCAGGGTGCTGGTGGCTCACACCTATAATCCTAGCTATTCAGGAGGCTGAGATTTGACAATCAGTTTGAAGCCAGCCTGGGCAGCAAAGTCCATGAGACTGTTATCTCCAATTAACCACCAGAAAGCCAGAAGTGGTGCTATGGTTCAAGGGGTAGAGTGCTAGCCTTGAGCACAAAAGCTCAGGGACATTGCCCAGGGCATGAGTTCAAGGCCCTCCTGCCTCTGTCCAGCTGGCCTCAGCACATCTGTCTGCAAGGCAGCTAGCAGGCAAAAGCTACAGGCCTCTGATGGCAAGAGATGCTGTGTGTCCATGTGGACCTGGTGTCTCCCTGCCAGGGTCTACATGGTACCGGTTGGGAGGAATCATGGAGGCAGCAGTGAAGGGCCAACCTGCTATCTGAGAAGCAAGTCCTGAGTGAGGATTCAGAGCAGGGGTGGATTACCTGTTGGCAAGGGTTTTAGAGGGTGGGCATGCGCATGCGAGCTACGGGCAGTACCTCCGCGCAGCGGGGCCCAGATCGCCCGGCGGATGGCCTGCACCCAGTCCTCCATGTCACGCTGGGAGCTGGCCATGAGCAGTAGTGCCTCAGGGTGGGATGGCGCCTTCTCCCGCTCCCCGGAACCACCTGCAAGACAGGGAGACAAGGCTTACCAAGGGGGTCTCCGTGCAAGGGGGCAGATCCCCGCCCCCAGCAATCTGGCTTTTTCTGTTTTGTAACCTCTTTCTCTCACATCTTATGCCTCTGTCTTTGAGAGGCTGTGTGGTTTTCTTTTTCCAAACTTAGTCCATCCCCCCCCCACACACTTTTTTTGTTGCCAGAGATTGGTACTTGAACTGGGTATCTGATGCTTTCACTCACTGGCTGGCACTCTACCACCCAAGCCATGCCTCCAACCCCTCCTAACTTAGTCTTGCTTTGTAATTTTTTTTTGTCAGTCGTGGGACTTGAACTCTGGGCCTGGGCACCATCCTTGAGCTCTTCAACTCAAGGCTAGCACTCAGTGTCACTTTTCTGAGTGGTTTATTGGAGATAAGAGTATCACCGACTGTTCCTGCCTGGGCTGGTTTTGAACCGAGATCCTCAGATCTCAGCCACCTAAGTAGCTAGGATTACAGGCATGAGCCACCAGTACCCAGCTTGCTTTGTAATTTTTTAAATATCAAAATAAAAATTGTTGCTGGGATTATTTACCATAGCTAAGAGATGAACCAACCCAGATGCCCCTCAGTAGATGAATGGATCAAGAATATATGGTATATATATACAATGGAATTCTATACCTGCATCAGAAAGAATGACATCGCCCCACTTGTTAGGAAATGGAAAGACTTGAAAAAAATTATATTAAGTGAAGTAAGCCAGGCCCAAAGAAACATAGGTCCCATGGTTTCCCTTATTTGCAATAACTAGTATATGTCTGAGACAAGCAGAAATGGTCAGATAAGATGATGTTAAGCAAAATGAACCCCAAGATAGGGACACAAGTGTTTTTTTCTTTCTTGCTATTGTTTCTAACGTATTTATAAGGTACCACGTGATTTTTTGTTGCTTGTATGTCCCTCCCCCCACATATGTATAACCCCTGTCTTCACTGTATTTGATTTTGGTATAATTTGGGGAGGGAAAGGGAAAAAACAAATTGTTTAAATAGGGATACAGGTGGACCATTGCAACAATGAGATGTACAAGACTCTATGTCGAAAAATGAACTTTACAATTTAGGCAGGGGGGTGGGTTAGTGGGAGGGGGGGTATAGCTGAGGAGGTGGGAGGGAAGGGATGGTAGGGGAAAAACAGAGGAGGAGGCAACAATGCTGGATAAGAAATGTACTCATTACCTTGTTCATGTAATTGTAACCCCTTTGTACAGTATTTTCACAATAAAAAAAAAACTTAAAAAAATTGTTGCTGGGCACTGGTGGCTCATGCCTGTAATCTTAGCTACTGAGGAGGCTGAGATCTGAGGATCAAGGTTCACAGTCAGCTCAAGCAAGAAAGTCTGTGAGACTCTTTATCTCCAATTACCCACCAAAAAGCCAGAAGTGGAGCTATGGTTCAACTGGTAGAGTGCTAGCATTGAGCAAAAAAGCTCAAGGACAGCGCCCAGGCCCTGAGTTCAAGCTCCAGGACTGGCACCAAAAAAAAAATCATTGAAAGGGGTACTCTTAGAAAAAAAAAAAAAAAGGCCATGCTGATTCTAGCAGTTCAGGGAAGCTGTGTCCCTCCTCCCCTCCACTGACTGTTTCATTTAAGTCAGTGTCACGGAAGTGCATTGAGTGTGTTCCACCATGACTTTCGTTTTGTGCTGGTACTGGGCTTTGAACTCAAGAGCCTGGGTACTGTGCCTTTAGTTTTTTGGTTTTTGGGGTTTTTTTGCTCCGGGCTGGTATTCTACCACTTGAGCCACACCTCTACTTCTAGCCTTTCTGCTGGCTAACTAGAAATAAGGAGCATCTCAATCAAATGTGTAGGCTGGCTTTGAACTACAATCCTCAGATCTCAGCCTCTTGAGTGGCTGAAATTATAAGCTTATGCCACTAGTGCCCAGCTATCTTCCATGTCTTTTAAACCTGCCAGCCTCCCCTGCCCACTGAGGGCCTGGATGCTGTCCTTGAGCTTTTTTGCTCAATGAAGACGGGAGTGTTTACAGGGACTGAATGTTAAACCAGAATGGAGCACAGGGCCCTGAAACTCCCCACTGGGCCACTCACTAGCTTGATGGGAGCTTATCAGCTCACAAACCAACTTTTCGCTCCAGCAACTCAAGCTTCTGCAGGTAAATTAATTCATTTTGGACATCAGTGATTTTGCAAAACCACCCAGCTTGGTGGGTGATTTAAGGGAACTTTAAGAATGAGCATAAAGCCAAAAGCACTGGTGGCTCATGCCTGTAATCCTAGCTACTTGGGAAGCTGAGATCTGAGGATCACGGTTCAAAGCCAGCTCTGGCGTGAAAGTCTATGAGATTCTTATCACTAAGCAACCACACACACACACACACACACAAAAACAAAAAACAAAAAACAGAAGTGAAGCTATAACTCAAGTTCTAAACTTGAGAGAAGAAGCCAAGTAAGAGTGAAAGGCCCTGAGTTCAAGCCCCAGGCTTCACAAAAGTGAAGCAAGAACAAATGCAAAAGGAAAAACAAAAGCAAATAAAAAGAAGGGGGAAAAAAAAAGAAAATGCCTGTCTAGGCTCACTACACTCCGAGTCTGGAATTGCCAAAGTCCCTACCTATGACTGCCTTGCTGCAGAGTGAGCCCCAGGGATAGATCCATCACCTGCAAAAAAAGAGGGGGGAGCAAGAAGTGCAGGAGCACCAGCCCACAGCCACGGAGGGGTACAGCCCAGACACTGCTCCTGAAGTCCTGAAATGCACCCTATGTCTTCCTGTGAACAGAGCCTACAGCCAGCCCGTGGAGGAGGGGCGGCCCAGTTCTCCCTAGTACTGGGAGGGGGCAGCTCAGTCCTCACTGGTACTGGGCGGGGGCAAGGTGAGGGTCTGTAGATTGCTCTCCTGGTGTGCTGGGGGTGGAACCCAAGACCGCTCACTTGCTAGGTGAGGGTTCTAATGCCAAGCTATATTACCAGTCCCACATATCCATCTTACACGAGGAAAACGAAGCACAGAGTGACTGAGACACACACACACCTTCAAAGTGGTGGAACCATGGGTTCCAGGTCCTGCCTATGGGATAGTAGCTACTTCATACCTATTTGTTGTTTTGTTTTCTTTTAATCTTGCTGGTCCTGGGGCTTGAACTCAGAGCCGTATACTCTCACTTTACTTACTGGCAGCATTCAACTGTCCATGCTTAACTTTTCCTCTACTAGTTAAGAAAGACTGATACTAACTTTAAAACTAAATTTTAGCTGGGTGCTGGTAGCTCATGCCTGTATTCCTAGCTTCTCAGGAGGCTGAGATATGAGGATCTCGGTTCAAAGCCAGTCTGGACAGGAAAGTCTGTGAAACTCTTATCTCCAATTAACCACCAGAAAACCAGATGTGGTACTATGGCTCAAGTGGTAGAGCACTTGCCTTGAGCTCAGAGCTCAGAGACAGTGCCTAGGCCCAGAGTTCAAGCCCCATGACCAACAAAAACAACAACCGTCAAAAAAAAAAAAAAAAACACACAACCAAATTTTAAACTAAACTTTAAAGCTAGAATTATGACAGCCAATCTTCAGGAAGAAACTTACCATGAAACATGATGGTCTGTTCTGCTCTTTCCTGTTTCTTTTCTGAGCCAGGCTATGCTTCCAGCCCATCCCAGTGTCTCCCAGGTGCTCAAAGCCCACCCTGGGCATAACTCTTAGCTCCACTGCACAGAGTGCAGAAAGTTAACCAGAGTCAGGTGCCACAGTCAGCCCCTAAAGCATGAAGAAGTGGAGATCCCCTTGGATCAGCACTCTTCAATGTCTTTATGAAACCCGCATGGAGGAGAGGCTTCAGACTCAGTGCTACGGATGTTTTGGGCCAGATGCATCTTGGGAGGTTGGGGGGGGGGACAACTGCCTTATATATAGTAGGATGTTTAAGTGTCCTGGTTTGACTCCAATGTTCCCCCTCACACAAAGGTTACGTTAAAGGCTTTGCTGTCAGCTGCTGGGGCTTCAGGGATGTGATCAGATCTTGTAGACTTGGATGTCATCAATGGATCTGTCAATGGTGATGGATTCAAAATTGAATGGACTATTGGGAGGTGGTGGAAACTCTGGAAGGTGAGGTCTGATTGGAGGAAGAGTAGCTGGGATCGGAACTATGAAGGGTACATCGCTTCCCCAGCCTCTTCCTCACTTAGTCTCAGCTTCCTAGTCACCATGAGGTGAACAGCCTCCTCAGCCCCACACTCCTCACCATGCTCTGCCTCACCTGAGGCCCAAAGCCATGGAAGCAACTGAACATTGACTGATGTTTCCTGGAAAGTATGGGTCAAAATACATCCTTCTTCCTGTTTTCCTCAGGTATTTTGCTACGGTGATGGAAAGTGCCAATCAAAAACAGCATCCCCCACTCCCCCGCCCTTAGCCAGGTGCTGCTGACTCATGCCTGTAATTCTAGCTACTCAGAGGATCTGAGGATTGAAGTTCAAAGTCAGCCAGCCTGGGGTTGGAAAGTCCATGAGACTCTCATCTCCAATAAACCAACAGAAAACCGGAAATGGGGCTGTGGCTCAAGTGGTAGAGCGCTAGCCTTGAGCTGAAGAGCTCAGAGACAGTGTCCAGGCCCAGAGTTTAAACCCTACGACGACAAAAAACAACAACAAAAAAAACAAAAACAGCACCCCTGGATTCTACCCACTGGATGCCAATAGCAGCCTCTCCCTCCCTCCTCCTTGCCCTCCCTGCCCCTAGAAAAATGGCTCTCCACATTAGTGAATATTTCTTGGTGGGCAAAGATAGGAACCACTGATAGACAGCAATGAGATCTACACTGCCTGACAGTCTAAATGGATGTTAGAATTTTAGTCCTGTGACATCCCACAAGCACATGGCATGTCCAAACTAGCCACTTCTTTTGTGTTCAACTATCAGTGCCTCAGGAAGAGAGTTGGGAGAGCTGCCCACCTCCTCCTCCTCTGCTGTTCTCCTCTGGAGGGTGCATCCGATCCCAGGCTCTCCAGATTCCCTGCTCCACTGCCTCTGCCAGCATGAACCTGTCTCCAGATGTAGCTACACCTGCTCTGCTGTCTGAGGGCAATTCTGCCTTCCAGTCACTCAAGTTAAAACCAAACAGGTGTTCTCGGCTTCACTGCCACTCACACCTCCCATCCATTCTCACCAGTAAATTCCACTGGCTTAAGTACATACTCAAGATTGGGCGCTGGTAGCTCATACCTGTAATACTAGCTACTCAGGAGGCTGAGATCTGAAGATCATGGTTCAAAGCCAGCCAGAGCAAGAAACTCTGTGACTCTTATCTCTAACCACCAGAAAACTAGAAGTAGACCTGTGGCTCAGTGGTACAGACAAACCTTAAGTGAAAAAGCAAAAGAGGCAGTGCCCAGGCCCTGAGTGCAAGCCCCAGTACCAGCACCAATCACTTGCCACCATCATTTTTCATCCAGAGGATGGGCATGGTCTCCAGGCCCCTCTCTAGCCCTCTGAGATCTCTTCTCCATATGGCAGGCTCAATGGCCCAGTTAAGACTCAAAGCAGCTCTCCTGCCCTATTCAACTTTCTCTGGGAGCCCCCCTTTTCGGCAAGGCCTGCACACTTCCAACTCTTGTGCCTTCAGCTCAGGCTGCTCTCCTTCTGCATTTTGCCATACCTCACACCCGCCCCAGGATACACTCCTGACTCAGCCTTTGCAGCTGGCTCATCCTTCACTATTGCCCCGGATTCTGGTAAGACTGGAATTCTCACCTCCTTCTCATCTTTCCTGGAAGGTCACTTTGGGGATCTTTCCTGATTGCCTTGCATGGCCCACCCCTTGTTCCTTTCCGGCGATAAGCCCACCCTCACTTTGTCTGTTTTACGTGTAAGTCCAGCACAGCAGCAAGCTGAGCTGGCACAGGCAGCCTGTGATGGAGAGATCAGCAGCAAGAGATCTGCTGAGGGGATCCACATATGTAACACCCACTGCAGGCAGCCATGCTGTCGGCAACCTCAGAGCCAATGGGAGTTTGAACTCTCCCAGAATCTCGAGAGAACTGTGTATCATTTCAAAAGCAAGGAAATTGAAGCCCAGTGATGTTAAGAAACATACCCCAGCTATCAGTTGATGAGTGGACGGATGACAGTGAACCAAGACATCCAGGCAAGCTGGCTTCAACCCTGATGTCTCACCAGCCCCAGGTGAGTGAGTCAGGACCCAGCCCACCTGTGCTGTTCCCGCCTGAGCTCCTGAGCTACAGCACGCACCTTCCTTCTACCCAAGCAAGGAGGCTCTGGGGGAGAGCGAGTGACCTGACATACAATAGATGCAGGCAAGTCCCAGGATAATTTTTTAAAAAGCAAATGAATGACTGTCATCATTGCAACCCATGAGGTACACCCTGTGACAGAAGAGAAAGCTAGCCATGCCTGGTGGCTCATGCCTGTAATCCTAGCTACTCAGGAGGCTGAGACCTGAGGATCACAGTTCAAAGCCAGCCCAGGCAGGAAAGTCTGTGACTCTCATCTCCAATTAACCTCCAAAGAGCACAAGTAGAGCTGTGACTCATGTGGTAGAGCACTAGCCTTGAGCAAGGACGTGCTCATTCATACACATACACACACACACATACACACACACACACACAGAGCAAAAGCTGTCATTTTGAGGGACTTAAAGTACACATTAGATACAGCCTTCCTCTGTCAAAGTTTATGAAAACTGTGTGTGTTGTTTTTTTAAAAATGACCATTTAAAAATGTCACCAGAGGCTGGGAAGGTGGCTCAGTGGTAGAGCGCTTGCCTTGCATGCCTGAGGCCCTGGGTTCGATTCCTTAGCACCACATAAGCAAAAAGAAAAAAGCCGGAAGTGGCACTGTGGCTCAAGTGGTAGAGCACTAGC